ATGATTATATGAAAGGGAACATATATATTATTATATAAAAATTGAAATAATAGTTATCAACCTACTCCGACTAAGTTTATATAATCTTGAATGATTACAATGAATTAAAATTGTTTCTTACTATTAACAGCATTAGACCCGGAGATGGGTTAGACCTCTTAGGATCTGGAATGTCAACACCACACATCTCTCACCTGGCATCAACGAATCCATTTAGCATATTATCGCCAAGTCCACAACCGACTAGTTCTCAATCTAGTACCACAGATATGCATACAATCGGCGGCCTTAGAAACGTCAATATGCAGTTATCCCCTGGGAGAAATGACAATCATGAAGGAAAATGTGAGGTACATAAAAAGTATTTAACATGTCAAGTGAATTTTTGAATTATGTACTAAAATATAATTTCATTATTTTAGATATATGTTGGGAAAACATGTGCACAATTTTTGGAGAAGCAATCAGTTTATATTCCATATCCAATGACACAGGAAATACTTGATGACAAATTGATGAAAGCCTTTGGCGTTATTGAGTATTCGAAGTAAGTAGATTAGATCATTAAATTTAATGTAAAAGCTTTCAATGTAAACCTAACATGGTAAAATCTAATATTTCAGTGAAGTATCATCGAACTGTGAAGGTTACGCAAAACCATCTTTATGTTACTCTGCATTTCCAATATGCCGTGATCCTGCCAGTATTCTGAAGCTCAAAAATGCCAAGAGAATGTTCCATATTTTAAATAACAATCAAGATGATCTATCAAAAGACACAGGCGATGGAGATGATATAGATGATATTACAAGGTCACATGGTATTCCCAGAAAACGAAGTCCCACTTTGGGTCCTGGTTCCGAATTTAATCCTTATATTGATGGGAAGCTTTCCCCCAAGAAATTGCTTAGTCAAAGTTATGGCGAGACATTATCCTCTAGCAGGAACGATATTAATCGTAGATTACGGAGGATTTGTCGACAGGAATGTGAAGCGCTAGAGTATGATCTATGTAGGCAAGAGTATGCAATTGCTAAGAGACATCCACTGATTGGACAACAAGTGCCTTTAATTAACTGTTCTGACTTGCCAATGGAAAACACTCCTGAGGCTCGTGATTGTTTAAGTCTTGGCATTTCCATAGAAAATAATGTGCAAGAGCGTAAGTAATTTCAACAGCATTTTAAACAATAGAAATTTAATTTTATAGTAATTAATATAAATACAAAAAATCCAATTGAAATGATTTATAGATGATTATTGTTATTGGGGAAGCGGCAAGTCTTATCGGGGTACAGTGAAAACAAGTATTAGTGGAAGACCATGCTTACAATGGTTAGCTCACTTCAACCTCCCAATTTCTGATTATCCTGAATTAGCCGGCAAACATTCGTATTGCCGCAATCCAGGTGATACAGAGTCGCAACCGTGGTGTTACGTTGACGTCAACCATACAATGCAGAAAGAATTTTGTGATATACCTAAATGCGGTAAATGTCTCTCATTAGTTAAAACAATTATATTTAATACAATCCTAATAAAACTTTCTTTTTTTTGCAGTTGAAAACTTATGGATCTATGCAGTCGTTGGTTTTGTACTAACAGGAGGATTTGTTGTAATATTGGTGTGTTATTGCTGCTGCTATAGAAGCAGAAAATCTACAAGGCAAATGAATCATTTGCCTTCAAACAAAGTACGATTTTATATAATTTTGGAACAAGAAACTCGTACAACATGTATAGAAAATAACAATTCTATTTTTATGTGACAGATGTTGACGGGTATACAATGTGACAAAAACATATATGATGGACGACGAAGTACAACACAACCTATGGAGATGAGTTCCCTTTTAGCAGGTCCTGGTAACACAACTCCGGGAACTGGAACATTAAGCAGTGGTAGCAGTAGAACATCCAATAATAGAGTACCACAATTTAGTACTAACAATGTTGTATTGTTACAAGAACTCGGTGAAGGAGCATTCGGTAAGATCTCATAAGTTTCTTTTACAATTTTTTCTGTTTCAACCAAGAATCAACATAGTATTTATAAGGAACGTACTTCATTATCTTATGTGTCCTTCAGGAAAAGTATACAAAGGAGAACTACAAACGGGTAACAAATGCGAGCCACCAATTTACGTAGCGGTGAAAACGTTAAAAGAAAACGCAAGTCCAAAAACACAAAGTGACTTCAAACGAGAAGTTGATCTAATGACAGACCTTCGACATCCAAACATCATTTGTTTGCTTGGAGTAATATTGAAGGGAGAACCAATGTGTATGCTGTTCGAATACATGACTCAAGGAGATCTACACGAATTTCTTATTTGTCATTCACCGAGATCAGACGTTCCATTGAATAACGGAAGTGGTAAAATCTTGGAACAACCAGAATTTTTGCATATTGCGTTGCAAATTGCATCCGGTTAGTATATTTGATATATTATGAATTCAAATAATTTTATCGATGTAATTTACTTACAAAAATATTACTTTAGGTATGGAATACTTAGCTAGCCACCACTATGTTCACCGAGACTTAGCTGCAAGGAATTGTTTAGTCGGAGATAACCTGACAGTAAAAATTTCGGATTTTGGGTTATCACGTGACATATATAGTAGCGACTATTATAGAGTTCAATCTAAGAGTTTGTTACCTGTTCGATGGATGCCTCCAGAGTCGATTGTTTATGGAAAATTTACAACAGAGTCTGATGTATGGAGTTTCGGTGTTGTATTGTGGGAAATTTATAGTTACGGTTTACAGGTAATAAAGTAAATTATATCAGTGAATGCATTAAGTAACGAATAAAAACCAAATAAATACTCGCCAATTATTCACGCCAATACTTTGAATGGAGCCAGTTACTTAAATTTACCTGACGAATATTTAATTGGTCTTGTATGTGTATCTATATGTGTATCAAAGAATTCATTCATTTACTTTTCATTTTACAGCCGTATTATGGTTACAATAATCAAGAAGTGATCGACATGATTCGTTCACGGCAATTATTACCCTGTCCTGAAGATTGTCCTACCATGATCTACAGTCTAATGATAGAATGCTGGCATGAGGTTGCGAATCGTAGACCACAGTTCCCAGAAATCCACCATCGGTTACACAATTGGTACATAAATCAGACTTATCTGAGTGATTTCTGTAACGAATCTATAACCAGCTATTCTGGAAGTAGCCATAAGAGTACGAACAAGACCAATTCCACGCAATTGTCAGCGCCTATATACAAGTGTGATCAGAAAGATATAAGTAACTTTAAGGGAAACACGGAATCACCTTTCTGTAATATGAACGAGCACAGTAACGGCCTGAAAATTCTACCACCGAGCTTCCAGAATTGTAATTCCATCGATCAAAGACCGAACTGTGGTTTCAGTGAGCACAGTACACCAATGAAAACACCGAACTATCCTAATCAAACGAACATTAATTTGAACGAATATGACGATAAACAGTGCTGTTCACCAAAACTGAGTGGAGCTAAGAAAGTTTTACCACCGACGACGCAACAAATCGTTAAAACAAATACGTTAAACGGTACCAGACCCATCCAAAACGGTGCGCAATTAGTTGTCAGGTTACCAGACCCTAGTAAGGTTACAACTGAGACCAGGGTATCAAAGTGAAAATGATAATTTAAACCTCATGATCAGAACGAATTCTTATGTTTCTACATATTCACCGTAACCGCTGTACAAGGTCATCTATATGGTCCGTTTTTAGGTACAATTGAATCGTTAAAGCTTCAAATAACGTTCGTCAAACAAATTAGGTATTTACAACCCACAATACCTAATCACTGCCATATTTCTGCATTTATATTTATTTCTGTCAAAATATATACAATATTTTATACTGGCAATAACAATTTGGATGGTACAACTTTAACTTTTTATACATATACAGTCAAATTTACATAAAAAAAAATATAAATATATACAGTGTAGGCTGTAGACTGTACTATTAATGTATCCTGTATTATTTAACGTTATTTTTTGAATTGTATTTTAAAGTATTAGATACTGTGTTAATATGTGTTTAAGCATATTCAACAGAATTCACTCATACATTAATTTAATGTAAGTATGCGACTAACTAATATTTCATCTATATTATACTACAGTAACAATATTCGATAGTACTTCGAACAGAGAAGTGAAATTGTAAATCAAACAACCTAGGCTTGTTTATGTAGTTTTTACTTATATTTTTGCATAATTGTAACTTGGGAACTTTTTACTGAAATATTGTTACTAAAATATAATATACCTGTAATAACAGTTGCATTTGTACTATTGTGTGCTTACCAGACTGAAAATAAGTATTTTAGAAATTAAACTTTAAATGATTTGCGAAACCAATCCTTCAAAAGAAATGGCACAATAATAAATTATCATCTGTATGTGTAGTGGTAGGTTGTTCTCTATGGAAGGAACAATTTGAAATGTGATCTCTTTAGCATCTCTTAAACAATTCTTACATTATAGGCGAATATGTGTAGACGGTTTTTGAGTCGTTTCGAAGTGAACAAAAATGTATAATATCCAAGCGATCAGAGCAAACTGTCCAATCGATTGATTATGTTATTGACTAAAGCCTCATGATTTTTATATTGCTGACATTACACGTTCTTCTTCTATTTTGATACTCGGATAATTTGCAGACTTTCAAGAAGCAACAAATGAGATCACGTTAATACGAACGCAACATTTTAAGCTCTTCAATTCTGTTAAATAGTAACGTATGTAGTTCTATGTTCATAAAAAAAATCTTCATTCTAGAAGATCCAGTGACTGTGAAGTTAATAGTGATCGCCCGTGCGAATTTAACGACGTTCAACCAACAAGATGAAATTGTCAAGGGCATCGGTGTGTAAATTATATACGAAATCATTTACTGTTCGTGTATAGAGTGTAGAACAGGCGGCCAGAGCGAGTGTTACAGACTGTTTAGAGCTAGTCCAACAAATGAAACTTGATGAAAATGCGAAGATAGAAGGAAAAGAACAATAACGCCTGAATTAAGTGTTGGGAGCTTAGAGTGAGAAGCGGACCTTACGTGATCAATAATATTGTCAATAATATAAAATACTGAGCAGTATTTGATGACAGTAATATTGATTGTTCGTAGGTAGCAACGATCCGAATTTGTCGATCCTCGAGCATCAGCCAAATGGCAACGATACGCAAAGTGCGAGATCAGTCATACTCCAACGAACAATAAGATACTCCATATGCGAAGACAAATGGAACGTATACAATAGAATTGTTTTTACACAAACTATTCTTTTCAAAAGCAAAGAAAATTTATTGACCGTGACTTGACTTTCGTGTCATTCCATTTCTGATTACCTTTACGACATGCATTGATAATGAAGAAAATGAACAGCGTAGAAAAAGATAATTACTTAAAGTATTTTAAGTCAGTCGAATCTTAGGATACATTTTTAGATGCAATAAATATTCTAGTGCACAATAATAACTTTTGAACATATTCTTGCATCTGGAGTCAATTATTTTTCGTTGCGCCGTGAACGATATCGCATATTGTATAATACATAGGTAATGAGCCGAAATATTGACAGTGATAATGTTAGCGTAAGGTTACGATAAAAGTCGTTAAGATGAAGTTACGTGTTGTCAGCGTCGTTGAATCAGTATCATTGGCCGTGCGAGGTCCGCCGGAAGGTTCGAGCGAAACTGTATTATACTTTTTATAATTTTCTATTAAAACGGAACCAGCGGGATGTTTCATCGGCTTTAAGGGGGATAGTGGCGACTAGCGCGCGTCGCGACTGGAATCGATGTAAATTAGAGTTCGTGGAGATCATTAGAGTAAACGTGTCGGTTAAAAAATTGAAACGAGACTTTTTTATGGTGACGAGTCTGCAACATGGGTGAATTGTATTATTAATTGTATTGTAAACGCTGCCGCGGCCACGTCGAAGGCTCGTCACCGGTTAGAGTTAAGTTAATTTATGTCAACCATGTCGACGAATAATGATAAATTTAAGAACTTTATATATAAATATATATACATATACACATATATGTATATGTATATATATACGTACAGTCAACTATGATATAAACGATACATGTTTTTTGTACCTGTGCTTTTTATTCTTCTCCAACCCCTAACAATTGAACTGAACTAAACTAAAGTGTGTTCAACCGTGAACGCGCTAGAACATTCTGAAATATCTACGATATACAATACTGTCATGAAACTTTACATGCAATAACTCATAATACCGTGTAACTGTCCAAAATTGACACACGTCACTGAAGATAAAAGCTGATCTTACATAGAGCTTGTACATTTAACACGTTGAATGTCATGAGGGTCACCGGTGATCCCCGACCAAATCGAATTACTATAGTTCACTCAAACGATGATTGTATGAAAACATTTCTATGTTATAAATAATGCTATCTAATATGGTAACATTCAGCTGGATGAACGTGGAATGGTAATAATGCAATTCGATTAAATGATTTAATATTATATTTTTTCCATTCTGTGTATTCTCCTCTATGAAAACGTGCGGCGTTCAACGTGTTAAATATTACTCTGTAAATGCATCTATAAAAAAACACGTTACACAAAGATACAAATTTATATTAACACTGAGGCAACGGTAATTTCGGAAACGTCAAAAACCATACCGCGTCTCATTGAAAGATTCTCAGGATCCTATGACAACGATCGAATCGTTCTGACCGATGACATAATAGTAAAAAAGGAATGAATACTGTCCAGAATGTAACACGTTTACGTTTATAAACGTGTTTCACTACCTAATGCGAAGATATTATCTGCCAGATATTATCCAGAATAGGAGTTGATCGGACACATAGTTCGTACGCTTTAAAATAATTGTTCACGTATAGCAACAGACGCATTACACAGTGATACACATTAACGTTGACGGTGAAGCGTGAACAGTAGTTTATCAAAGCATGACCATCAAACTATCTTGAACATGGATCTCCATACACACGATTACATTTATAGTCAATACGAATAATTACAGACTAGGTCGTGACATAGAACGCTTTCACTGCAACCAGTCGTGCCGATAATTAACGTGTAAATTAGTCCTACACGAAGATCGGCGTCGGAGTGATTGTTGTATGTTACATTAGGATATAATGTAGATACAAAGATAAGGGGAAAGTGTTATAATAAAAGTTTATTTCAGCGAGGTTGCCTCATGAGGGAGGTAATGCTGAATCAACTACGGCCAAGAACATCTATCCTGCTTGAAAACTCGATAAATCTTCGTCTTATGAGACAGTTCCTCTTGCTCGTGGTTGTTCACGAGCTATTGACGCCTGTGCGTTCCATAAATGGTGTGATATGGGACAAAAATACGGAAAATTTCGTGCCGATCGTCAGCATTCCGACTTTTGCCGCCCTGAATCAAGAATTCCTGAACCGGAGCCGCGCAGAAGAGACTCACAACTTTCAAGAGAGGATCGTTAAATTATCTTATTACGAGGTAACACCACGGTACAATATACGTTTGAATTGTTTCTTCCTTTTCGTTTTGATTTTCGTTCATTAATTGTATGAATTCTAACCCCTTGACCTATGATCTATTTCTTAACTATGATCGGTACAACTAACTTTATCATTAATAATTTAGTAGGAAAAGAAAAAATGTTTATGCTCATTCTATGTCTACGTTTATAACAAAGGTTAACGATTGATAATAGAAAAGTAATATTTAATTTATATTTAAAAAAAAAAGTAAATAACATTTAAATTCGTCAAATTTAGTTTAAAGTTTTCGTCACGAGTCTGACACGATATTGTAGGTCAAGGAGTTAATAATACTTTTTTGTCGGTGTAGTAAATGTATCAGCCGGAACAATTATTCAACAATTACATAATTTAACCACGTTCCGTTAAACTATTTGGATACCTAATTTCATAGTGATAAAATTAATATTAACATGTTGAATGTCGCACGATTTCATAGAACAAAATGCACAAAATGGAAAAAATATAATATTACATCATTTGATTGAGTTGCGTTATTATTATTGCACGTTGATCTTGCTCAATGTCACCGCATTCGGTAGCATTGTTTATAATATAGAAATGTTGTCAAATAATCATCTTCCAATTAAATGAACTATAGTAATTCGATTTAATTGGGGATCACCGGTGACCCCCATGGCATTCAACGTGTTAACACTCTTAATCGTTTAAAACCAAATTTTTCGTTGACCTTAGCGTCAAGTTGCATAAAGTCGATGTTTACGTTGATGTTCTTATTCTTTTTATCAGATCAAGAACATCGTTCACAAGAAAAATAACGGGACGGCAATCACTGGTGTCATTGGAGAATTATGGAACACCTTGGCTGATCTTTTGAATTTCACGTAATTTCGTTCGAAAATAGTAGAAACGTGACAGTGACAGATATTATTTCAACCGTGATCTACCATTTCAGATTGAAACCGGAAATTGTAGAAGAGAAAACTATAGGGTTTGCGGTAAACCACACGTTCAAATTTGGTTTATTACATCTGGCATTTAAGAATAAAACGGACGTTATACCGAGAGTCGAAGCCGCCACCGAAAAACTTCGGGCGGTACAATTCACGCAGCCCTTGATCAAAGCTAAGCAAGTCTAGAAAATTTATTCATAAGATCAAGTAGTATCTCACATTTGATCGATTTATACATGAAATATTATTTTTACAAATATAATTAAAAAAATAGTAGTTTTTTTAATAAACGCTATAAAAAGTACTATACTCTGGATATTTTATGTATTTTCTAGTAACGTGTGTAACCTGTGCACTTTTGTACTTTCAAATTTCACATAAATGTATACAAATTTGCAGCATAATAATCACATTCAAATTTGATTAACAGTGGAACCACCGCACCCGTCAAAATGGCGGGTTTCAGTTTTCTTATCTCGTAATTATTGATATCTTAAAAGCGTTAAATATCTCAAATGATTTGAAAAATAAATAGTTTCACTTGAATACTACAATCAATACATGAAGAAACTGAAAAAAATCTGTTTCTATTGTTACAATTTTTATAAAGATCACATATTAATCATGCTAAACGCTCAGTAGTTCTATCGTTAGAATTGAGGAAATTAAACACGAGATTTTTTATACACCGTGATTGTTCAATAGTTTTGCAGGTTCTTGTCCCGGTGTCTTTTCAAGATTCATTTAAACAAATTTAATCTTCGTCCAGGTTTCAATACTACATACGACCAAACACGAAATATGTACAAAATTGGATGCTGAACCTGTTTTCCAAAAGAGTCTGGTTCGCAGTCCTAACGACTTACATATTCTTCGGCTTCTGCAGCTACCTTACTCAGTCAGTTAATTTCAAAATACGGAAGGAACCGATCCTGACCATGAACGATTACTTTTTCTACAACTTCGGCGTGCTGTGTTCTCAAAGTAAGAGGAAACAATGAAACGGGAATGAATGCGTTATTTCATATTCTCGAGAAAGATTCGTTGAAAACAATTTCCAGCAATATTTTATACAAGTTTCTTTTACTCGGGCAAATATTTTATTCATTAACACGTTAACTGTCGCGAGAATTTCGAGCGTTTTATACATCACCTATTTATTCTTCCATAGTGAATATAAATGGCATTAGAAATAATTCTGAATGATTTAGTATCATTCTAAATATTTTTATATGACATCAATCCCGTCATTATAATCGCTTTCGAATAATTTGAAAGCACCAGTCATTGGTAGCCACCATGGCAGACAACGTGTTAATGTTCCAGTATTCCATTTTCATTGGTTAGACATTTCCCAGAATGTCTAGAAACGAAATATCTTTTGTACTTTAACTTTAGAAATTCTTCGCGTTATAAATTCATGAAACATGTGTCTAATAATAGAAGTTTAACAAACTTAATTTCACAGCCTACTATCCAAGTAGAAATAATAAAAGTGCCAGGATGGTGGAATGTATATTGGGCATCTTCTCACTGTTAATTAATACAGCATTCAATGCGCTTGTAATTGGTTATATGACACAGACGTTCACTGTACCACCTTTCAAAGACTTGGCGGCATTACTCGACCATACATCGTACAGTATTTATACCGTGAACGGTTCTTCGGTAAACTTAGCGTTCGAGGTATAGCACAAAGATATGTGACGCGAAAATCGGGTTAACCCCTTGTCCTACAATATTGTGTCTAACTTGTGGCGAAGATTTCAAATGGAACTTAACACTAAAACTACCGAGCAGTAAAATTGACTTTCTCAAATTGTTCTAAGGGTGCAGCTATTGATACTTCGATCAAGCTTTTATTCAGTTCGCGTATTACTGAATCAACTTCTTTAGTAATTTCTTAGAGAAACATCTGTTATTCTGTTAGTAAATGGGAAAGAAAAATTTAGGAATGAATCAATTTGTCCCGTTTGGTAGTTCTAGCGTTAACAGATATAATTGTCACTTAATTCTTTCAAGTCCAAATTGAATATTGTTTCTCCATTATTAATTGTAACGCTTCAGAGTAAAGTTAGGCGTAGAATAAGTTTAGAATTTTGTTTCTTCTTCTAATGAACTGTGAACGATGAAATAATTCTGTTGAGCGCAGTTGTAAAAGAAATCATAGTACAAGGTGTTAATCGCCTTTCTAGTTATTTAACACACTGATTACAATAACAGGTCACTTCACGACTTTTCAGTTATCCCCTAAACCGATTTACGTAAGAGCGCAACAAATGAAGAGACTTCGTCGCGCGTACACTGTTCAAGAAATGTACGAAAAAATATGCACGTCGAAAGATTTAACCACTGGAGTGTTAAGCGACGATATAAAAAAGGCCAGTGGGATGTACATTTGTCGAATAAATCCGGTAGGAGACGTGATAGTCCATACCTACATTGTATCCGGAATCTCGCATAACTTCAAACACAAACGGTCCATTGATATTGGGTAAATGTCTTAATTATGAGTAATTCATTCAACCAGTTAACTGTGTATCACGCATACTTGTCGTCTTAAAGCCCAGAATGACTTTAACTTTTCCAACAATTAATTATTTATTTCTTCAAATAAATATGTAATTCTTTTTCATGTTGCCTCAGCTTTTTATTTCAATATATGTATATTAGCTGCATTTACCTCCCGCGTTCGACGTGTATACTCGTCGTTGATTAATTCTATTATACGCCACACAAGAGATTTATAAAACCGAATTCCACAGTTAACCAGTTGATTACGCTTAAATGATAATAATCACAATAATTACACTCTTCCTTCGAACAGTTATACGTGCAACTGATTTTCAACATTCATTAAATCATTAAAACATTTCTATTGGGCAGGTTATTGAGGTTGCATGAATATGGCATCGGTTCACGATTGTGGAACCATTGGGTAGAATCGCAGAACCAGGAAGATGATTCGAACATGCCTCAAGCAATTGTCCTGGAGCAGATATATTTAGTTATGTCTATATTTTACGCTGGATTGCTGTTATCATTAATATTTTTTATATTCGAGAATGTAATGTTTTATTGCAATAAAAGACGCGTTACTTAATGTACAATTTGCTTCGAAACTTTATTCGAAATATCAGTATAAAGAAATTTAACTTCGAGTGCATAACTGTAATTGTAAATTTTATAAAAATGATTTACTTCTAGCTGAATTATTTACGCAGAATTTCTGTTGTGAAACGTGTATGTACTTATACCATTCTGACCTAAATCCATGACCCGCCATTTCCTGACTGCAGGCTTTAATCATCTCGACATCGGGATATTGAAAATCGTGATAACGCTTGACCGGACACTGAATTACGAATCCGATGTTTCCGCGGCGGATCGTGTCCCGTGTTATTTATCGAAACGTTTAAACATGCCGGGACGCTCTGAAATACGATATGACACGATATCGCACGATATCTTGTAGTAAATCATAATACATATAATGTAGAAGATAAAAGCTGTTCTGACAGTATCAACAGGGAAAACAGATAGACTGTTCATTTCGAAATTATTCCTGGGTGAAATCTGATACACCAATGTAGAATGATTTGAATGATTTTTAAACTTCTTGTTAGGATCATGATTATGAACAACTGTTTTCTTAACGCAATTCGTTCTGGTCTATTATATATTCGGGTAAACGGTATCAATACCAACAGACTGAATTTTGACTACACTTCTTCCCCGATTAATATAATTTGCGAATGTATCGAAGAAATCAACATTCCGAAGAAAGTTTTTTTATTCGTACAATCAATAATGTCACTTAGTTTTCAAGATATTTATAAAGAACTCCCAGTAGCACAGAAGTGTGAAGAATCTAATGATGTCCTGTGATTTTAACGTAGCGGCCATTTTGTCGCAACCTACGTGAGACCAACATTTAAGTAATGAAAATCCAAAATCAACAAATTATCTTCAAAATATTCTAAATTTTAGACTCGCTTTCTTCTGTTTTTGACAGTAGTTACTAGATATGACTAATTGCGTTTGCAATTAAACAAGTTTGCCATTAGCACTATTTCAGTAGGTTTTAAATGTTAAATTCAATAGGTCTCTCAATAGACACGTACAGCATAACATTAGTTAGCATATTTCACAACGTATGAACCTAGTGAATAATCGTTAAAAGTTGCATTTGGACGCAATATATCATGACAATACTGACAGTATTGCCATAATGAAAGTGTATTTCAGCGAGATTCGCCTATCAAGATCGGCAATGTGGAAACAACCACGATCCCGAGCATTTCTCTGCTTAACCCCTTGTCGTACGATTTTTTTTGCGACTAATAAATCGCAAAAATCGTCTAACTAATTTCACTTCCAATCACTGTAAGAGACACAGAGAAATTTTCTGTTTATTGTAAGTATAATGAATAACATTAATCACAGAATGAAGAAGATAATTCGAATACGTGGCAAGCAATTGTCCCGAAACAAGTGTACCTAGCTGTGTATATATTTTTCTGTGGATTGTTATCATTAATATTCCTTGTATTCGAAAGTGTAATATTTTATTGCAAACAAAAAGCTCATTACTTAATGTACAATTCTCTTCGCACTTTATTCAGAATATTAATATAAAGATTATGCTAATTATGAAGTCGTGTCACTTTTCATTTCGGTTTTGCTGTCGGGTGTTACAACAATTGACTCTTCAGGTTGTTCAGATGCTACAACGGCATTGTCAGTCTTTGGTAATGTATACGTTTTTGTTGCTATTTCTTCAGGTGGTAACCAACTAGGTATAATTTTTCCATGTAACCGCCAAGTACCATATTGATTAGATAAATGCTTCTCGAACACTATGTAATCAAGAACATCTTTTCTTAGTATTTCACTGCCCTTCAACAGACGTCCAAATCTATCGTAAATACATAAAATCTGAAAAATTAATCTCACATGAAGCAATTCAAAAGTAATATAAATCGTATGAAGAAAATAAGCTGTTTATTATCAAACCTGTTGTGTGTGAAATCGGACAGTAACTTGCGCATAAATATTATGCTTTTTTATTACATCTGTGCACCTTGCGTATACAATACGTGCTGGTTCTAATGATTCTAAGAATTTCCAAATAATTGTTTTATCTTCTATATTATGGATCATTTTCTACAATTATAAATAATTTATTAATATATAACCAATCATAAAGCATAAGAATATATTATGTCTAATTATAATATAGAACTTACAGGATATGCAGCTTCTGTAACATATTGTAACAATTTGTCCTGGTCTTTACTAATAACAAACAAAATTATTCTTTTACTCGAATGTGCTTAATACTTCAATTCTATATTTTAAATAAATATCTATAACAAACACTTACGCTGCTAAAGCAGTGTGTGCTTCCTTATAAATCTTTAATGCCTCCTCTGGAAATGTACTCTTAGAAAAATTCTCATCGTATGAAATTATTTTTCTAATAGCCCTATAGGATTTGCCTTTTTTCTCAACTAACTCAAGTTTTTGTTTTGCTCCCTAAATGTGAAATATAAAATAATTTTTAAAAATGTGTATATTACAATGTAATGATAATAGTAATAATAATTTAGTATTTACTAATAATGTAACTTATTAAATCATATACCATATACCTCCTTAGTAATAGTAGAAAATCTTCCATCTCCCTCTGGTACAACATATGGTTCAAATATATTATTTGTACAACCAAAATATATTGGTCTCTCGCGCCATGTCCTTTGAGGTAATAGACCACACCTTTTTAATTCTGATCGTATTTCTTCTTTTGATATCACGTCATCCCTCTCATGTATCTTTGGAAGCTCTACTTTAATAAATTTTTCTCTTCTTTCTTTACGAAACTTTGGATTCCAATGTTTCCTTATGTTTCTAATTTGTTGAGTATTATTGTATGGATAGTCAATAGGACTCAACATACAAGGCAGATTATTCTGGAAAAGATAAAAGATTATTTAACAACCAAAGGCGTTTATTAAATATAATAATAAAAATCAAATCACCTGCATAAATTTGCCAAAAATGCAAATTGCACTTTTATATTTGTACATCATTTTTACAACTTGGCCCTTAAATCACTTGCAAAGATAAACGTTTATAAATTTGAATTACAGTGTAGTCATATTAATTCTTTGTCAGTGCATAATACATTTAGGTTATGTAGGAAAACAACAACAAACGTGAATGAAATATTACATAACTTGATCATTAATCATTTTACTACTTACTAGGGTTACATATACCAAATGTGAATATAATTATTTAGAAGAATTTAAAGCAGTACTTTTACAATAAACTTCAATATCTTCGCTTTGAGAATTTACTCAGCAAAAGTATCTACTATTACATAATTGAGCTTATAACGAATAGTAAAATATAT